CTACAGAAGACCCTTTCTCAAAAAATACATTTTTTAATGCTACATGTGTGTGTGTGTGTGTGTGTGTGTGTGTGTGTGTGTGTGTTGCTTGGGATGGAACCCAGGGTTTCGCACATGCTAGGTATAATGGTGAATATTTTCATGACCTTGGTACCTGTGAGGGATTATCTAGATTAGGTTAATTGAAATAGAAGGACTTGCTGCGTGTGGTGGCACACGCCTTCAATCCCAGCACTCTGGAGGCAGAGGCAGGCGGATCTCTCTGAGTTCAAGGTCAGCCTGGTCTACATAGTGAGTGTCAGGCTAGCTGGGGCTATAAACCCTGACTCAAAAAGACAGAAAGGAAAGGAAAGGAGGGAGGGAGGGAGGGAGGGAAAGAAAGAAACAAACAAATTTGCCCACTGTAGGTGGCACCATTTCGTGAGCTAAAGTACCAAACTGATTAAAAAGGAAAAAATGAAGCTAGGCACCAGCATTCATCTCTCTGCTTCCTGACGGTGAAAGCAATGTGACCAGCCACTTTAAGATCTCACCCCCATGTCTTCCCTGCCACAATGGACTAGATACTATTCTTGAACTTTGAGCAAAAATAAACCCTTTCTCCCTTAAGTTACTTCTGTTGGGGCATTTTATCACAGCAATGAGAATGTAAAGAATGCACTAAGCAAGTACTCTACCCCCAAGCTACACTCCTATCCAACATGGTAAATTTTACATCCTGAATATTGAAGCACAATTCAAAAATAGTCTGTATCTTTACAACAGGGAAAACAGAATAGGAAAAGTATGCATTCAATCCTCAAAACTGGGAGGAGGAGTTTCCCTACATCCTCTTCCTCCTGTCAGCACAGCAGCAGCATCTAGCTGTGAGGGAAACTGACCAAATCCCATGGACCCACTGGGACCGGGAGAATTTCTGGCCTAGAGACAAGTTGCTCTCTAAACAATGACCTGGAGCATCTCAGAACCCTGAGACTGTCTCCCCTTCTGTATTTTAGATCTTACCACCATGTCTTGTGTAGAATACACATCATACCTGGAAAGCTCACCAGGAGAATGTTCTTACCCCCAAAAGAGTACTACTGTACTGGACCCACCACTGAGCACTTTCCATTCAACCGTAGTCACCGTTCCTGGGAGGCACCCTTCCCTGTCTAACTCTATCCAGGGCAAACAGAGCAGGAGCAGGGCCTGTCATGACCAAGAGCACAACTCTGAAATCAGGCAGTTGGGTTAAAAATCCCAGTTCTTTCATAGCAGCTTTGTTGCCCTGGCTGAGGCTGAGCAGAACCTCAATGAGCTCACCTGTGATCAGAATCCCAGCACTCAGCTAGAGGTGGGTAGAGGATTAAATGAGGGTTCTTACAGAGCTCTCCTCAGATGCCTGTCAGCAGAAAGCATCTGAGGCAGTGTTACTTTGTCCTTCTTACTGCTCTTGCCCTGAGCCCTCCATCCCTTCTATTATCAGTGTAGGATCACAGTAAGAGAAAACATGAAGGTAGAGGCATGTCTCCTAACTAGGATGTGGGGACAAGAGGAGCCCTAGTCCTTGGGACAACACCAAAGACTGCGGGATGGATCTTGAGACTCTAGCCCAAGGGTGTTTGGTCTTAGGACCTTTGTTATAGCCTAGGAATCATGCTTCACCAGACCAGCCTAAGGAGGATCCTTCCAACTCTGGGCTAAAGATTTGTGTTAAGTTAAAAGATTTCTTTACCATGGGATGTCCCAGAGCCTTTAAGAGATTGTTGTTAATGTGTGAATCTCCAAAGAGAGACCTGGGATGCAAATGTTGACCTGGGAGTGTGGTATATGAATGTTCCAAGAAATACCTAGTGGAGTATGTCAGGATTTGGGGGAAACCAGGCACAGATAGGACTTGATAGGACAAGTCCTGTCTTTGGCCCACAGTAGACAGAGCCTAATAATCCCTGATCTAGCTGGTTCCCTGCCTGAAATTAGCATATATAGAAACAGCTTACCTGGAAAAGCTGTCTGGCTAGACAGATGTGACAGGCCAGTACCCTGCACAGAATGTTCTCTCATCCCCAGCAGTTCCCTGTCTACATGATATTTCAAGAGTAGGAAAGCCTGCATGGATTGATCTCCTTACCTCTAGATAAGATGTCTAGGGAAGGATCTCCTAGTGGCCAGGACAGTTTCTGTTCAGGAATATGACTGGACTTGTCTGTGACTTGTCCTGCTGCTAGTGCTTGGGCATCCCCTAGGCAGAATGGTTGGACCTCCACTGTCTAACAAAATGTATTACATTAGGACCTTCATGAACATGGAACCCATGTGGTCCCACCAGCTCAGAAGACCTGTGTGTGCTTTAATGTTATCTTGACACCATCTTAAAATCTGTAATAGTTATGTGTGCATATATACATGTGAGTGAGCACATATGAATGTGTATATGGAGAGGGGCACATGTGCATGTGTGTACATGCATGTGTAAAGACCCAGTCAACATCAGGTATCTTTTCTGGTCACTTTCCAGTTTTTTTTAAATTAATTTTATTTTTGTGACAGGGTCTCCCCTATGTAGCCCTAGCTGGCCTAGAGCTCTCTATGTAGACCAAGATGACCTTGAATTCATAGCTATCTGCCACTGCCTCCTTAATGCTGGGATTAAAGGCATGCCCCAGCTAACTGTATCTTTTTTTTTTAGGCAAGGGCTCCTGTAGCCCCGACTAGCCTGGTCTCACTATGTAGACCAGGCTGGCCTCAGTCTTACAGGGATCTGCCTGCCTCTGCTTCTGGAGTGCTGGGATCAAGAGTGTGTGACACCACACCCAGCCCTGTACTTTATTTTTTGAAACAGGGTTTCTCACTGAACCTGGAGCTCATTGATTAGGAGCTCCAAGAATCATCCTGTCTATGTATGTCCCAGTGCCAGGATTACACGCATGTACTGCCATGTCTGGCTCTTTTTAAAAAAAAAAAAATTATATCTGGCGTTCCAACTCAGGTCCTCATGTTTATATGGCACACACTTCAACTGAGCTTTCTCCCCACCCCCATATCATAATTGGATTTTTGCAATTTTCATACAATATAATTTGATGGCATTTAGAGCCCCTCACCTATCAGCACCACCCTTTATTGTCCCCCCAATTTAATGTATTCTAATACATATATATATATGACCTCTAGCATCTAATTTGTGTCCCCAAGTCCATGATAGTTTTTAATAAGGAGTTGGCCTATAAAGTATATAGCTGATAGTGACCCAAAACCCTAGCAGGCCATGTGGGAGGTGATCTGGAAGCAGACCCTCTTCCATGTCCATCTCCAGAATGCCATTCAGCCTACAGAGGACATGTCCACCTCAGATTCAGAGTACATGGTGCTCTTGGTAGGGTGCAGCTCATAGCTCATAGTGTTTGTTTTAGTTATAAAAACCTTCATAGCCAAAGCTCCCCACACCTCTGGGTCACTTGTCAGGGAAGATGAGACTTTGTGTGGGTATCAAATGAGAGGTATTAAGAAGAATTAGAGTCTCTAATGGAGCCTGGCTGCTCTGCCTTCAGGAGACAAAGGTGACACATATCCTTCCCACACTAGCCATCTACAGCCACACTACCCAGCGGACCTGTCTTGTGGGTCCCTCAGGTGCCACGTTCCTCCTGCCTGTGGCATAGCACCTTGGCAGACGGTTCCCATCCTGCCCTGACTAATTCACAGCCAGGCTAATTTTAGTTCTTTACCTACCTGCAACTGCCACCAAATTATACGTTCTTTACACCAAGGATTTAGAACCAGAAAAGAGGCTGTTTATTTATATTTCAAGAAAAAAGGGGGAAAATGAAGTGGCACCAGTTGCACAGACCTCCATTTTCCCACACGTGGTCCCAAAAGAGAGCGCTCTATAGGCTTGGCATATTTCCCTCCGCATGTGTGGCTCTCGTGCACTGGCCCCATGCCCAGCCCTGTTCAAGCCTGTCTAGCAGGACTGCCCCTTTGGTCTGCCTTCCTTATGCTAAGCTCAGAATTAGTTGTGCCAAAGAAGACATTTGGGGGTTTCCCATAAGTCCATTTTTCCTGTGTGCATCCAGTTAGAGTGTTAATAACTGAGTAGCACTCCCAGGATTAAAGATGCGATGAAGAAATCTTGAAGGGCCTCTTGGACTCAGATTTGCTCCTGGAATATCCTTGTAGCCCCTCCCAAGAGGCTCCTCTGCCTCAGTAACAACCACCTAGTACCCTTCCTTGACTCTTTCTGGGTACCACTTACAGTACCAGGCTCTGTACTGGTCCCAAACCCCCATCATAGCAAATGGTGTGTTTAACAGGTATATCATTTAAGTATGGCCATCCAGTTAGGAGGCAGTAGAGCTAGAATTCTGATGCAGTGTCATCTGACTTCAAAGTCATAGTGTCCCACGGTGCCACCAGGCCTCCCTTTCTTAGTATGGTAATTGTAAAGCCAGCCAAAGGGACGAGGGACATGTCCCGAAGCTAGGCCCCCATCATTGCCACCAAGAAGGCTCTTGGTGCTACATGGAACAGCACCTTATAAGGTCATATGGGCCCTAGTTTGGGCCAGAAGCCCTCTCTACCCCTGTTTCAAAGTTCCCTTCACCTCAAATAAAGGCAATAAACATTCTGTACACCCCCACACTTGTACCCTCTAAACTCAAAAACCATCTGTAACCTGACTTGTTCATAATTAGGTTTTTAGCACATAATTAGAAGATTAATGGATTAATTATAATTTATTTGCAAATCATTAAAAGCATTACTCTAAAACATTTTCCCTGAAGATTATTTTGGATTACTCAAGGCAAGATAATGAAAGGAACAGAGTTAAAAAAATGGAAAGCACACAACCAGCAGGCTAATTAAAAATAATCAAATAAACCGCCAAGTTCACAGAGCTAACCTTGCCCCTGCAGTGGGGAAACTTGGTCCATTTCTCTCTACCACAGCAGATCTTTGGGCACTGTGCTAATGTATTATTCCTCCTAATTTCCCATTTTTCTCTTTCTCTGGAACAGCCTCCATTTGATGGTGAAGATGAGGACGAACTGTTTCAGTCTATAATGGAGCACAACGTGTCCTACCCCAAATCCTTGTCTAAAGAGGCTGTTTCCATCTGCAAAGGAGTAAGTAGATCTGGGTTCCTCTGTAGCCACGAACCAAGAGGGTGGGAAGGGAAAATACTTTCGTAACACCAGTTGTTGTTGCTGTATTTTAGATAGTGTCTTGCAATATAGCCCAGTTATGAGCTTGTAGCTCAGGCTAGCCTTGACCTTGCAATCCACTTGCCTAAGCCCCCCAGATGCTGAGATTACAGGTGTGCACTGCCATGCCGACTTCCTTTTCCAGACTTCTAAGAGAGACAGTAGAAATACCACATATACATGCCACTGTAAATGCATGGGGCTAAACTTTGGTGACATGCAGGAAATAATGGGACAAGACTCAAGTCCCAATACCTCATGGGCCTTTGGTCCATTTCCTTATCATACTATACTTCTGTTCACAGTGAATTTCATGAGATTGCAGTAGGGTGACCAGAAGGAATCACAGGGCTGGGGGATAGCTCAGTTGGTAAAGTGCTTGCCACTCAAGCATGAGGACCTGAGTTCAATCCTTAAAACCTATATTTTAAAAAAGCCAGGCATGGTGGTGCCCACTGTTGGGGAAGCCAAGATAGTTGGATCCCTGAATCTTGCTGGTCAGTCACCTTAGCTCTTATCAGCAAGTTCCAAGCAGGAGCAACCCCTGAAGTTGATCTCTGGCCTCCACACACATGCATGCACCCAGCACCCACACAAAAACAAAAGTAGTTGCAGGTCCTTGGAATGTGCTCGTTCTTATGTCTTGTCTCACTTGCTCTGACATAGTTCTTTGCCCCCCCCTTTTCTTAAAATACACATATTGGGCATAGATCATCAATGTTCAGATCAATGAATTATTACAAAATGGATATATCCCCATAACTGCTCCCTGGTCAAGAGGTAGAGTCCTAGAAGCCCCCTTCTCTTCTCTATAGTCACTCTGACTCTCCCCACCTTGAGATAGTCAGGATCTCCACTTTAACCCCAAGTGTTAGTTTGCCTGTCTTAGACTCTACACGGAGGGCCTTCTCCGTGTATGCTCCAGCCTGGCTCCTTTCACTCAGCATGGCAGGGCTAAATGTGGCCACATAGCTGCACGCAGCTCAGATTCCTTTCTCGGTGTTGCTCTGTGGACACACCACAGTCTACCCAAGCATTCCACTTCTGAGACAGGGGCAGTCCTTGGAGCGTTTCCCCCCTGGCTGACAGTTCTTATAAACAGAACTGCTTTGAACCTTCTGGGTCCTGAGTGAATTCTCTGCTTTCAGGAAAATGCCTAAGAAATGAATTGGTGGTGGTGGCTCGACTAGTTTTTAGTGATCACATCTTAAGTGACAAAATTCTTCTAAACTTATCAAAATAAAGTACATTACACTCAACACTTTCCAGTTAGTTCAGTCATTAAGAATCATTTATCATGTGTGTGTGTGTGTTTGAAGGGTTAGGGTTAGGGTTAGGGTTAGATGGCAGCTCAGTGTTAGTGTTCCCCTCTAAGTCCTGCATCAAACACCATGCAGTGAACTTGTTGCCTCCTTTGTTGTAGTGTGCATTTTCCTAACCTGTGAGTCTTTGATAATATTTTGGTCCAGGCAGTAAGAAGGTATGTGATGCTTGTTATAGCGTTCCATGTGATGCTGGCTTGTTATAGCGTTCCATGTGATGCTGGCCTGTGGCACTTTCAGCTCATATGCTTTTTAGTGATACCATGCCCCTTTTACCAGATCTACATGTAGATCACATGACCTTCTCTTCCTCTGTTTTTCCCTCCTTCCTTTCCCCCTTCCTCCCCCTCCCTCCTCCCTTCTTATCTCCCTACCTCTACCTTCAGTTCTTCCTTCCTTCCTCCCTCCATCCCCCCCTTTCCCTATCTCTCCTCATACTCTCCCTCCCTCCCTATCTCCCTGCCTCCCTCCCTCCCTTCCTTGGGACAGTGCTAAACGTCAAACCCAAGGCCTGACACATTGTAAGGAAGCCCTCTACCATTGAGCCACCCCCTACCACCCAGTCTACATGTAGAATGTCAGGGCCAAAGCATATGATGCACAAAGATGCCTGTTTGAATTCTTACTCCATTTGGCCATTGGTTCCAACTGCTTTCTTACTGTGACAATCACTATTCAGAGGCCACACTTATTACATCATGTGTGTTTCTTGGTGAATATCCAGTCTGCTCGGGCAACTCTACCATCTATGCTAGAGGCTGAGCTGGGCCAGGAAGGGCGCTGACTCCAGGAGGCCAGCTGTCCATCCAACCATCCCTTTTTCTTCTTTTCTTTCTAGCTTATGACCAAACACCCAGCCAAGCGACTAGGCTGCGGGCCCGAGGGAGAGAGAGATGTCAGAGAACATGCCTTCTTCCGGAGGATCGACTGGGAAAAACTGGAGAATAGGGAGATCCAGCCACCATTCAAACCCAGAGTGGTGAGTCAAGTAAAGCAGGCTGGTGTACTGAACTCTGTCCCTGGTTCTGGGCGTGGCCCTCCTGTCCTTTTTCTGGGCAGCAGAGGCTAGTGACCCTGGTGACCTTGGCCTTGGCAGAGTAAGGAAATCACAAGTATCAGCTCAGCTCAGAATTATGCTCAGTCCTGGAACCTGAGCAGCTAGGCTAAGGACAGATGCACAGACCCATAATGTGCCTCAACCTCCAAAGGGCTACCACAGAGCACCAGACCATTAGCAACTAGGGTCTGCACTGAACGCTGGACTCTGAGGAGACTGCACCCTGCAATGCTATTCTTGTCTGGTCTTTGAAGGACTCAAGGCTCACATCTCTCTCCAGTTTTCCTTGATCTGCATTGCCCCTCTGGGTCCCTGAAGCACAGTTAAATCTCTACCAGCTCACAGGCTGGACGCAGCTCTCACAATGGGTGCTAAATCCACTCTGAAGAGTGTCGCATCACCAACTTTATTCAGTCTCATGTGATCCCCACTTTTAAAATTCTACTGAAGACCCACTATGTGACAGGCCCTGTTCTCAGTGCTTTACAAATATTATTAATACACTTTTCCTGACACTATTGTCTCCAGTTTGCAGTTGAGAAAACTAAAGCACAGCGAGGCCTAGTAATGTGCTGGATGACAGGGCTGGCAAGGTGCCAGGGGCAGGATGGAGTCAGGGTCCTCTCCACTGCACCATCACTCTGTCAGTGACTGCCTCATGGCTCGTTCTCATAGTGAGTGGCAGCCAGTGCGCACTTTCTCAGTGTTTGTATCTCTAGAGCTAAACTGAACTGAGCATTTTTAGAACACCTCTTCACTCACCCCACCTGCTGCCCTGCAGTGCCCAGGGCATCTGCCAGCACATCCACTCCTTCCGAGTCTGGGCCAGTTGCTGCCCTGGTACTGTCCTCCCAAGACTGTACAGAGAGCTACTCTAGTCTGTGGGCAGTGTCAGAAGTCTCCGCCCTGCTGGATCGGCCCCAATCTGTCTTTCCCCAGTGCCCCGTGAGCAGGCCAAGGGGACCCCTGTGGTAGCGGAGCTGCTGACTGGGCAACAGCTTTGTTCTCGTGGCGGCAGCAGCTTCATCAGATGTGCCTGTGCATCTTCTGCTCCAAGAATAACACTGGCAGTGGCCAGCCCCCTGGACTTCATTTTCCTAAGACATTTTTAGCACAGATTGAAGACAAACTAAAATGAATCAGGTCAATTGACTTCCTCCTGAATCATTGTTTCAAATAGGCACTTAGATAATCCCCTACCCCCAGCTTCTCCTCTGCCAACCCTGGATCCTGGGCACTCTCAGGGGAGCCTCTTCTTCAGGCCACAGAAACCTGGTAGTGAGGTTTGGGGATGGGGTGGGCAGAGTGATAAATGGCGCTGCAGATGCTGCAGGAGAGTTCTGTTAGGGAGTTTCTTCGTTCTCTTCTTCCCTTGGTATTTCTCTGTCTTCTTAATGAAAGTGTGAAAGGTAAGCAGTGGATCTTAAACAGTCTGTTTCTCTACGGGAGCGACAGAAATACACATAGAGCCTACTTGGCAGCCAGGCCGGCCATCAAGCACATTCTCTTTTCCTGTGTATTCTCACCTTGATTTCAGAAACAAACCTTTTTCTTTTCAGCCTCCCACCTTTCCAAGGTCATTGGCCCTTAGCTCCTGAGCAAGGAAAACCAGAGGTGACTTAGCTTAGGCAGCTGAGAATGGGAGCTGTTCCCTTGGGTCACAGAAGTATCTGGAAGCACAGGGATTTCTGTGGTAACAGCTGATATATGAGCAGTGTTTGTTTTTTATTTTCAAGGGGCTGAAGTTTATTTGTTAGTTTGTTTTGACTGAGTGCTAGTTTTCAAAACAGAATAAATTGCATTTGGCTGTGAAGAAACATCCTTCCCCCAAATCGCAAACAGAAGCGGAAGTTGTGGATGAAGTTCATAACACCAGAAGTTCTGTGTAGAAGGCCAGAGGCAGGACAAGCATGCTTGCTCACTGTGATGATTCTTTGGCCAGAGAATCTGTACACAAGGAGGAAGAATCCAGAAAGACTGCAGGAGACAGAGGTTGTAGGGGACACAGCAAGTGGGATCGGACATTTTGTTTTGTCCCAAAGCAGAAGAAGCAAAGCAAAGAGACACATGGGGGAATTCCCAGGCCCTGGCAGGCAGCACAGGGCTGCCTGGAGCTCGGTTTCTCCTCACCCTCCTCCAAGCCACATACACAGAGCAGAATTGCTTCCTCATCTCAGGTGAGGACATCATGCAAGGGCACCTTGGGGGTCACTCTGTCCAAATTATATGGTTCTGGGATGGAAATACCACACCAAGAGCAGTTCAGTAGTTGAAGAAGGCATTTAGGACAGGGCAAAGCAACCTTAATCAAAGACACAGGTGCACCGTGATGAGCACAGATAGAGAGAGAACTGTGGACAAGAGATACTGTAGGGTGTAGCCTCCCCACTTCCCAGGTGAAATATGCTTGCCTGATCCGGTAGCTAAATGCAAGCTGAGAAGAGTTTATAGATGAAAAACAACTAAGCATTCTTCAGTGGTAGTACTTTCAAAAAGGATGAGCAACAGAGGCCTCACTGTTGTGACAGTATCACTCCGACTTCCTTCCATGTGGCCCCAGTGAGCTGAGCTCTGAGGGTCCACTGCCACACCCACCTCTGAGTAGTTCTCATAGCCCTGGCTGACAACCTTGCCTGTCTTGGTGGAGTTTTCCTGGTGGGGTTCTAACAAGCACTGGTGAATCAATTTCCCTGAGATTTACAGTATTAAGGGCCGTTAACTGTTCTGGCTCCCTTGGAATTAAACCTTCCCTTACTGCTGAGCACCCATTGTAGGCCTTCACACACTCATAGTTACTGCCTGGCTGCCGCAGGGAATCTAATCTGTGCTTGCAGATTTGGGAGTCTATTGTCTTTTTTTATTTTTATTCTACTTTGTTTTTGAACCTTAAAAGAAAGATTATTCCAGAGTTGCTGACCCCCATAAGGAGGGTAGAGGTATTATATCACAGGGCAGTCACAGGGCTTACCTAGAGGAGTCAAGGTTTCCATATATACTAGCTGTTTATTATTTTTCACTGATAAAGTTAACCTTTAGACCAAAGTGCCGTACAAAATTGTGAGCTCCTACCACAAATAGACTCTTCATAGTGCTGTGATCCATCAGGAGGCTCTGTATAGAACTTACCTCCCAGTGACATTATAAAGTCAAGACATGCAGTGCAGCGAGGCCTGTTTTCTGTAAGGTCACACATATAGGAGAGTAGGGAGGAGAGGGCCAGGCATCAAGTATGGGGACTCCAGGCTCAGCAGTGAAGGAAGAATTGGTTCTGCAGTGACTAATGATGGGAAGGTCCAGTGCTAGAAAGAGTTGTGTCTCTCCCTCAATGGCTACTTCATGCCATTGTGAAAATGAGTTCATGGAGGACAGGATGATCCGTGGGCAGGGTAGAGCCTTTCATGCACTGGTTTATTTTGTAAAACAAAAGCAAAGAGAATTACACAGCTGTGCTGTGCTGACCTGGAGATGAAGCCACCACACAACTGTCTTCTTGATGAGAAAAAACACTCTGCAAACTAGTCCCGGAAACCTCCTCAAGCAAGCACAGACAGGAAGCATCAACTCCACTGTGCCACTCCAACTCCCTGCAGCCAGCCCAAGTCATTGAAAAAAAGGCTCAGCAGTGTTTGAAAGACTCCATGGTCGAAGATGCTGTTTTTACAAGAGATGCTGCCTCTGAAAAAGTCCATCTTCGGTTACAGAAGAAACAAGTGCCCTGCCTCTACGGCTTTAATTGAGGAGACACCACGTGAATGCAGTGGAGATCCAGCCAGCCTGCTTGGCTATCTGATTGACTGTCAGCCTCTTCAAGAGAAGGACAGTCCTCCTTTCTGCTTTGCCTGATGAAAGCTCCGAGAGTCTTAATTGGCCATGATGACCTTTGCAGGCTTTTATCCTGGTTTATTATTCACGTGAATAAAATGACCATGAACAGCCTTCAAATCTCCATTGGTCCTGCCCTGAAATGAGTAGCCATTTATATAAATACCAGAAGAGTTAATTGATTGGGTTTTTTATTGTTGTTTTGAATTCTATCCATTGGCACCAAGAAACAGAATAGCTCCTTCCCAGGCAAGCCAGAAACAGCCACTGTCTTAAAAGGGTTGTTACAGGGAAGAAGTTAATCTGCAAAGTTAACACCAACCAAGAAATAAATATTCTGGACTCCACAGATGGGCGAAGCTCTCTGAAAATGGGCCTGTGTTTCAGACATGACCTTTCTTGGGAAATTAGCTATTTTATCAAAGAGAGATAAGAAAAAAGTAGAATAATTTTCATCAGGGCATTGTCATCCTTTTAGCAAGAGCCAGAAAAGGAGAGTAAGGACAGCAAGAACAGGCAAAGATACCACTGCAGCGAGCACGTATAATCAGGATCCCTTTCCCGACCCCACCACCTCGAAAAGAGCCAGCAACAGGGTTGCTACCAGGACGAAGGCCCCGTTCATGATGTCATTGTTTAGAAAGTGTGATAATGGTTTGGGGGTTGGTAGTTATCTTTAAAATAACTTTGAAATGGTTCCAAAAGATTTATGAGGGGCTGGAGAGATGGCTCAAGGGTTAAGAACACTGAATGTTCTTGCCAAAGAACCGGGTTTGAATCGCAGCACCCACATGGCACCTAACAACTGTCCGTAACTCCAGTTCCAGGGGATCCGACAGCCTGTTCTGTCCTTCATGGGCATTGCATGACATGGGTGTATTTGCCTACATGCAGGCAATACACACATACACATAAAAATATAAAAATAAAATATTTTTTAAAAGATTTATGAAAGCATTGGGAAGCCAGACTTGGTGATGACACACCTATAATATCAGCACTCAAGAGGCAGAGGCAGTAGGATTATGAGTTGGAAGTGAGACTGGACCACTAAGTGAGATCTTATCTGAAAAAGCTGGGGGTGTAGCTCAGTGGTAGAG